ATTATTCATGTCCCACTGTGCATTCTTGCACCTTGGTGTGCAGTGGAACTCCTAACCTCTCTATTCTCCCTGTGTTGCACTTGCTGATATATTTCTCCCTTGGCACTTTCTGACCCTAAGGGAATGTCTGTAATCCTCTACATAAAAGGATGCATTGCAATGGTCAGCTGAGTGTGGGTATATAAGAAAGGGTCTTTCTTTTGCTGTACAGGAGCAGTAGGCAGAATTATGTCAACACAAGTGGCAAGTCCAGATCCTGAACAGGATGACTTGTTGTCGTATGATGACTGGTACATTGATGAACCACAAGGAGGACCAGTGGTGGCCCCTCATGAGTAAGTGAACACATGTATTATTAACTTCTAGACTATATACAAGTAAAGTTTAGTATGCTATTACTCACATTTTTTTTTCTAATTTTAGGATCATTGTACCATGTTTCCCAACCATGTCGGATGAACTCTACCACCTTATCATGGCCCCTGTTTCAGTGAGTACTTTTATACCTGCTATGTCCCTAGCCTTCATCTTCATTCATAACTAATCAATCTAGGTCACATAACTAATATGTTCTATGTAACTTGAATAAATGACCAGGAATTACTGGTTCCTACCTCTTACATCTCCCAGTATAATCTGTTACTAACATTTTTTTTATACCAAGAACTTCGAACTACAGTTGATGCAATCATTTTAACAATGAGGACAGCAGGGACTTGTTTGAATAAAATACATTTGTAAAATACATGTATAGTTTTAGGCTTATTGAAGGACCTTCTTAATTAACATAAACTGAAAAATGAATGAAAACAGAGTAGAACTACTGCATGCATGCATATTAACCCAGGCCTATTCTAATATAACGTCTAACACCACTGGCTAATTCTTACAAAAGGTCTGCCCATAGTTGCCAACATGTTATAATAATTTCCAGGGACTCGGCATATGAAGTGTGGTGTACCTCTGTATTACAATTCTCTGTAGAATCATTGCGTTATTCAGTCCTCACGTCATATTTACTAAACTGAGTAACATAATAAGGGCCTACCCAAAAGTACAAAATGAGCTTTACTTGTTCTGATTCAAGTTGCTTTCTCAACTAACTCAAGTGCAGATTTTGATGAAATATATTTATTTTATAAATAAATTACTGTACTTAAGGCAAACATACAATTTTAATGTATTTTTCAGTATGCTTGGCATCATGTCTTAATGTATACAGTTTTTTTGAGCAAAAATGTTTGTGTGCTTCTTCAGTTTGGCATTGGGCTCTCTATCTGATAGACCTGATAGGCAGGCCAACAGTTAACTGAAACAGTGTGCATGGCAATCTGGAAATACTGCTGCTAAATAAGAGGTAGTGGCTTAGAGTTGTCAGCGCATAGTTGGGCTGTTAATGGAGGTAAGAGAGTTTGGAACAAATTCACAAAAAATATTTTGCTTAAGAGAATTGTATACAGTGAGGTATAATGTCAGATGAGCTGAAACTAAAATTTTTGGGTTTACGTTTACATTTTTTTTTAATTCTCTGCTTATTGGTTTTATGAAATACATGAAGAATACATGTTCACATTGTAACCTATGGTATTGCAGTGAAGAAATACTTTGGTGTTATAACCGAGATTATCTGGGTAGAACAAAGAACCAGTTGGCATTCCAGAACACTGTAGTGGTAGGAATTGTAAACTGCAGTATCCATAGTCAATGTATAGGGATATTAACTGAAAAAGAAAACCAGATAAAATACAGTGATAGATGTGTGTCAAGGCAAAAGGGAGGGAGAGGGGATAAAGTGTGTGTGTGTGTGTCCTTAATTGAGGAGAAGGAGATGAGGGTTTGAAAAACTCAGACATTTCCAACAAGCAAGTCTATTCCACTGTCAAATAAAATAAATTCAGTCCAGTAAAACCATGTCTTTCTATAGGTTTTCCCCTCTGTTCAACAAGGAGAGCATGATATATTCCATATGCCTAAAAAATATGTGTGTGTAACTTGTGAGCCACTAAAATAATTCCTCTGGATCGCTAACATTTATCACATACTCAAACTGTGTTAACAAACCATATAACTAAAAAATGTTGCGCTCCCCAATCTCCAACAACAACTGATAAATTAGGGACTTCAAATTGTATCCATAAAAATCAAACAATATACCATAAATAAATAAATGTAAAATTAAATATGATGTGAATCAAATAAAAATAAAAATAAAAATCAGTCCCAATATTCAAATAATAGTCCAAAAAAAGGAAAAAAACATTTTGTGATGACGTGATCCAAACACGCCAATTGTGACTTTTCGTGAATCCTCAAATCATTAAAGATGTGCGCTCACCTCCTTACAAGCCTAACAGATAGGCTTAATACACTTTTTGTTCACATACATGGAACCTGTTAGAATTTGCTGCAGCATGGAATGGATGTTGGATACCTCCTATGTATTCCACAATGCTTCTCTCCTTATACACTCGTTATCCTTGCAGGGATCTCTCCCTCCTTCAGCTGTTCAGGATCACCTGCTCACTCCTCTTTAGATGTTCCTCAGTGTCATGAACTGCAAAAGGAATGTGGACATAGTGCTTTATCCATAAAAGACTTTGCCTTTATTTAAATGCTCAATATATGCACTCACACGGAATATAATTAAAAAGCTGTTTGGTATTAAAAAATCCTTTGCCTGTGCTTTGCCTGTGTATACTCGCCGTTTGCTCTCTGGTGCCGAGTGATGTCGTAGGGTGGGGCTGAGTCACGATTGGTGCGTTTGGATCACGTCATCACAAACATTTTTTTCATTTTTTTGGACTATTATTTGAATAATGGGACTGGTTTTTATTTTGATTTTTATTTGATTCACATCATATTTAATTTGACATTTATTTATTTATTTATGGTATATTGTTTGATTTTTATGGATACAATTTGAAGTCACTAATTTATCAGTTGTTGGAGATTGGGAGCGCAACATTTTTTAGTTATATTCCATATGCCTAATGTCTTCCACCTTCTGTATCCATTACTGAATGGAGGAAAGAGTGCGGTATTTCCAAAAAATGGGGATGCAGGATTTTGTTTTGGGTAAGTTCCTTATCCCAGAAGATATGGGATATTGATCCTGAATCATTGTGGCATCTCCAAGAGATGTTTCCTTTTTTTAAATATGCAAGCTGTAGTAGGGGCCTTGACACCAAATGCAAGTTGCCTCTTCTCGAAATACTAGATGCCTGGCGATAATATTGATTCAGGAACATCCATACTTTGATCAAGGACCTGGAACATGTGCAGAAGTGTTCAGAATTTATTGGCTTTTTTTTTAGCTTTTAACTTAGGAAGCACTGAAGCCAGGTAACCACTATTTTAGAAGGGAGCTAGCAATGTCAACCTACATGTTTTTGTTAGTAGAGGTTTCCATTAATTATAAAAGCAGACGACAGTTCAGGAGCAGAAAATATGTACCCCAGAAAGGCCTGTGTGTGCATTTTAAATACTTTGTAAAATGTTTAACTTTAATTGCAGATGTACATTGGCTTTTAATTGTGTCTGAGTTGCTGTTCCCTCACAATACATAATAACACAAATGCAGATGCAGCTCAGTACAGCTCAGAAGCAGCCTGATATAATGACCTAAAGCAGGCATCACTAAATAGCGGACCAGGGTCCAGATGCGGACCGAGTCACTGTCCCATCTGGACCCATGCAGTCCTGTCATTTAGGAGCCTTTTCTTCCCCCAGCTATCTCACGGTCTTCCTCACAGAGCTGACAGCGGGAGGCAGCACAGTTCTGGATGGAGGGTGGTAGCTGCCCGAGGTTAACAAGCAGGTGATTGGTTGTTAGGATGAAGGGCAGTCCTAACAATCAATCAGTGTCTGTCAATCACTGTCTGTGTAAGGTAGGACAGTGGGGGGGGGAAGTTAAAGGGGCTAAGGACATTAGTGTGAAGGGGGAGCAAGAACTGAATGTGGGGGGGCTGAGGACAGTAATGTGGAGGGCTAAGGACTGTGATGTGTGGGGACTGAGGACATTAAATTGCGAGGGGGTGAGAACTGTAATGTGGTGGCTGAGGACAGTAATGTGGGGGACTGAGGACAGTAATGTGGGGGCTGGGGACAGTAACATGGGGGGGCTGAGGACAGTAATGTGGGGGCTGAGGACAGTAACATGGGGGGGGGTGCTGGGGACAGTAATGTGGGGGGGATGATGTAAAAAGGGGCAGAGTACACTTCAGTGAAGGGGGCAGAGGACAGTACTGTTGGGGGGGGGTTGATGTCAAGGAAGTGTGAGAACACTACTGTGAAAGGGGTGGAGGGGGATAATGTAAAGGGGAGCTGAGAACACTCATCAAGAGGGATCTTGCTCTGAATGAGGAGGGGACTGTGATATACAGTGGGGAATGAGGACACTGATGAAAGAACAGGTTCAGATCTGTACATGTGCATTTGGTGCACACATTGTGGGTAGATCAGCACTACCTGCTAGAAACCTGAAGAATTCAATGACCCTTTTTTTTTTCAAAATCGCACCGCAGCAACACGAAAATACACCACAGGGGCCTACATGAGATTCGGACCTCTGATGCATGCAAATTTTATGCCCAGACCTCGGTGGATTTTAATTCAATACCCTTGACCTAAAGGAACTTCTTGAACAACTGAAAGGAAAATCAAAGAAACTCCATTGCAAGCTCATTGCATCTCAGAACTATCTGAACGCAAACTGTATATGTCAGGAATGTGAGTCTGAAGGCTGTCTATACAAGTCCTTGTATGAATATATGCGACTCTGGGATTTTGTTGAAAGATGGTTTAGTTTCATAACATTTCCAGGATTTAAAAATCTTCAAAATGCGTGACTGTCCCTGTAAATTAGAGACAATTGGCAACTGTACATCTCTATACTGTTTCATAAAAACATATCGACCGTCTATTAACTGCTGTACACCATTTGCATATACCTTTTTTTCTAGCTGTGCACATTGCTGCTTTTATCTTTTCTGATACGACGGCGAAAATTCTGCATTTCCTGCTGTTGGGGGGTTCCCGGTGTTCTCAGGTATTATATTAATTCCAATGTCTGTCCCTGCTGTTACCCTGCTACTTACCCATTATTACCAGCTCTATCTCACTCAAATCGTCTCCCCTATTAACTATAATCACTTCACTTGTTACCTTTTCATCTGCCTAAACTGCAGCCCCTTAAACCTATTGGAGGCTTCTGGGAATAGTTGGGTGCCATGTGCAGTCTTTGGCTTGCTAGTATCTTCAATCATCCGTTTGTTCCTGGACTCTACGACTCTCAACTTTATCTCCAATAACTGGGAGCCTTGTGGAGGTAAATTCTCTTTAATACTACACAGGACCATTTGAAAATAGAAAGAACAGACTACAGTCTTAATATGAAAAAGTGTCACATGTCAAAACCTATACAGTATCTGTTGAACGTACAAATTTACCCTAAAATGTGCTCTGTTGTCCCGGAAGGGTGAAAAACAACCTGAAGAATTAAAGTTCCTATGGCAGGACACAAAAAAAAACAGAACTGGTCTCTTCAGAGGAAAGGACACCCTGCTAAGCAGGGGAGACTTGGGCTGGGAGGCAGGAGGACATTTGCTCCTTGAGCTAGTCCTAGTAGGATATGTTAGGATGGTTGCCATGACTGGAGAAACATACTTATGGAGACCTTGATCTGAGCAGTGACCTGCTGAACATTTCATAGCTGCTGAACCTTGCTGAACATTTTATAGCTACATGTTCCCATTTCAGACCATTCATGTTTACATCACCTAGCAAAGGCAAGTCCTCCAGAATTGGCTTCCTTTGCAGATCTTAGGTGTTTTTTGACTAAATGCAAAAGATCCTAGGCAATAAATACAATTTTTAGTTTCCCCCCGGACAGGGCACCCAAATTCTGTAACACTGTATCCCAAAGACAGCATTCAAACTGATTCCCAGTCTACTCCGAAACAAGAAAGTACACAACACTTTGTCAAGTGAACAGGATCTATTCTTTAGTAAAGCAACCCCAATGGGCAAACTATTCATCATTAGATTCAATTTAATTAGATTAAAGATTATTCTTATTGTTATACTTGTAAACATTTTTTGCATTATGGTTGTATTTGTTAGCCCTATATTGCCTAAACACAAAGGTAAATTCTGTATGGATGATATTTGATATGATATCTGTATATTGTTCATGATATTACAGAACTTTGGAGAATCCTTGCCTTGTTCTATTACCCTGCGCTGTACTACCCTCTTCTGGCATGTAACAGACTGGAAGGTCCAAGGTCTCAAAAGGCTGTAGGGTACAGTGTGGGCACTATCCTCTCCTGGATGCATTGTGGAGCATTAATATGGCAGAAGGTAGAATGTCCACAATCACCACAGGTAAGACAAACACATCAAATTCTATGTTTTGGTAGATTATTTATTGTTTGTTGGAACATTTGGACTTCTTTTTTCTCTGGACTTTGTTCGGTTTAGGATCCTTCTTTCTTTGATGTTTTGAGAGAAACTTAAAAAGGCTATATTGTAAATTCCAGGCATATATAAAAATACACAAGGTATATAGTTCTTAAAAATCATTAAATGTATTTTAAACACAGTCCATATAAGTACTTGAATTTGTCTTTATAATTGCTTCTTCTAATTCCTTGCCCAACAGATGTCATATTGGGAAAAGGAAAGGCAACAGTGACCATTTCCTGCTGAATCCAGGGCACAAACACATTAGCAAATGAACCCTGCATCTGAAACTTTATAAATGCCTCCTGTGATCTGTAGAATGTTTGTTTAAAGCTACAGCAAACAATCCCAATAAGAGCTCTATTTTATACTGCCAGACTAAATGATGCACTAAAGTAAATAGCTCCAGTAGCGGATAATTACCTTGCAGTGCAAGCACTTCCGGGTGACTCAACACCAAGTCTGTTGATCTTTGTAGAACCCTGGAATTCCTTAATACTGTGGCACTCTAAGCTTTAAATAGTGACCAGCTTCCATAGTTGCTGTCTAGTACAGTATCATTAGTCAGTACGGCTGCCCATGGGCCAGTAGTGAGTGTAAAATTGATAACCACAGAAGCATAGCTGCCCTATGCATGAGAGAGCACCATGGTTTTCAGGGATTCCAGGCTTCTTTAGAGTTTAACAAGCGACTCTAATAGCTTTAAAAAGCATCTTCAAACTCTTATACTTTGTAAATGTTTGTTGTGTATAAGATTCTTCAAAACTGATGTTTCCAAACAGACGCCTTTGTGAACAGGATCTAATACTGACAGCTAGCAGAAGGATGGAGAGAGCAGATTGATGTAGCTTGGATGTCTGGACCACAAATTGGCTGAATAGAATTTTATCTCCTGTGGCAGGGAAAACAGTTCACATGTATTGTATGTATCTGAACCATTTAGAGAGAGGTTTGCCTGAAATTTGACTTTAAAGTACTGTAATGGGAGCAGTATTAGAGCAAGGATTTGCAGTGGTTGCTAAGTATTTAAAGAAGTGACAATCCATATACATTAAGTGGTGGTCAGATGTTGGAGAACAGTCCCACTACCTATCTAATAGGCAAATAAACGTTACCCCTAACACAGGTGGTCAAACACTATAGCTAGCTTCTGCGTTCTTCACCTATAACAGCCCCCTTTCCCATAAAGTAAGCAGGCTTACCACTACTCGTTGCCCCCTGGACTTAAACAGAATGCTATAGTGCCTGGCCCCCAGCCTGGGGCAAGCGCAAACTGAGCAAAGCAAAGAGGTACAAGGCGGTTGGCAAACAGGCAGAATGGTTCAATGACAGTCCAGGTACAAGGCAGGCAAGGGTCAGAGTAGTCAGGGTCCTATTCGTAGTCAAAAGGCTGGCTGAGTTCAGAAAATAGTCAATATCTGATCTGAGGTCATAAACAGGGAAATCCAAGCAGCAGGACAGAAAAATAGGGAGCTTGAGCACGTGTTACAAAAGCTATCACAAGCATGAGACTGCAGGCTTGGCTGGCTTATATCAGGTTTGGTCTCCACCCAGAGACTGGCCACATCAGTCACCTTGCAGGTAGACAGACAGACAGGAAAAGTGCTTCAAAGCCAAAACTACGTGCTCCTGACATTCACTCATGTCTTACGTGCTTGAATGTTACATAATAATTAATTAATACAAAAATCATTTAGCACTGGTCCTCTTAATGTTAAGTGGAACTTGGTGTGTTAAACCATAGTCATCATACTTGTGACCTACTTTTTGGGTTCCAGTCCTTTGCTGAGTATTTTACTCTCCTATCATCCACTGAAATTTCAGTTGTATTTTAACTGCAAAATTGGGTGTTAGACCCAAAGTCTCTCTATGATATGGAAATGATACTTGCAGAGGGTGGTTTGTGACTGCTCTATGTTGTCTGACCCATAGTGTATTGTAGAATGATGGCAGCTGTTTTAACTGTTTGGCTAAGATCAAGTGTAGTATCTGTTCTTATCAGTGTCCAGTGGGGGTGCTCCCGACCATTCTAGCTTTGCGGGGATGGTTGTTGTATAGTACCCTCACTGGTATGATGGGGGTCCGGAAGGCTGGACCGGAGGGACAGAAACCAGGGGGCGCCACGATACGCTCTGGGACCTTGGGAGTAATTCCTCTGGGAAAGCTGGAAAGACCCAGTACCTCCTGATTTGGACGGATCTACCTTGGTCTGGCCTGGGGCCGGGGACGCAAAAAGTCCGCAAACTCAGTGCCCCCTGGGGAAGACGCTCTCAGGGGTGTCACTAGTAACACTTGGGTGTGGGACCCCACGGTGTGAAGATGACACATGGCCACTGTTTTTCACCTCTTTTTGCACAGCGCCCTAAGGACCAGGTCTTTTGGCTAAGTCCGGGGCAATTTTTGCTACAGGCCTCAGGGCCTGGTCTGTGCACTATTAGGCACGGTACCACTTTTTTTTTTTTATTTATTTATTTAATCACTCCCACGTTTTGTCACTTTTTCTGTTCTTATGTGTGTGTTTTTCACGGATGGAGGGTGTGGGTCCTTGGGCCTTACCTGAAGTCTAGGGGGAGGATGTGTGGCCATACGGTTCCTTCCTCCCCTGATCCCTAGGGGGTTTTCTCTTCGGGAGAACCCCCTTGCCTAGTACTGGATGTCCGGCTTTGGCTGGGCATAAGGAACGGTGGTCCACCAGGCCTTTTGGGCCAGGAGGACCAAATGGGAACCTTGTCCCGGTCAGGAGCTTCGTGCCCCGGGGGATCGGGTGAACGGTCCAACCCTTCCGGGGGTAGGACAAACACACCCCTAAGTGCACTTTTTTGTGTGGTGTGTTCGCACTTGCACATTTTTTGTGATCACTTACGGGTTTTTCGTTGTAGTTTGCACGTTTGCGGACTTAAAAAAAAAAAAAAAACAAAAAACCTGTCAAAGCAAATAGCAAGCTCATGGGCTTTCAATGTGAACATCAACGTTAAGTGCCGTATATGAAGTTTCTGCCTATATTGCTCACTGTTTTCATATCACCAGTCAGTTTCTTTCTTTGATGCTATGAATTACAGCAGCATTACAAAAGAGAAAAACGGATTGGTTGCTAGGTTAAAAATGCAAAAAGAGTACCAAGTGCGATCTAGGTGCCGATAATACACCACAATGTGAAAAAAACTCCACCACCTCCACATATAGATGTCAGAGCCTCTTACCAGACCAGATGGACCATAAAGTTATATATGATCATAGGACGCTCAGCTTGAAGATGTGCAATCTCAATTTCACCATAGCAGACCAGCAGCCATAAAGGACGATGCTCCAAAAAGGTTAGACCATTAAAGGGTGAAGGTAATGGCACTCCACGCTCAAATAGTGGCCATAGTATCCATAGTATAAAAAAAAAATAAAAGGGATCGCATACCTAGTGAAGTATGCCCAAAAAAACTAGTTTATTCCTTAAAATCTTCAGTTCACATTCAAAGAAGATTGTTATTTGAGATCATCTGAGTGGACTACCTGTAAATGGCTTGTGATTCATTTTTTTACACAGGTTAGGAAGTTGCCAATCATTTTTAGTAGTTAAAATGTGTGATTGGATTTAAAATGAAGTTATTTGCAAGGATTTTAGAAAGCATTAGTGAAATACTTTATATTTTGCCTGAAAATATGTTTCAACCAAGATAAGCACATTTGGCCAGATTCTATGAAATGCTTACAGTGGATATAAAAAGTCTACACACCCCTGTTAAAATGTCAGGTTTCTGTGATGTAAAAAAATGAGACAAAGATAAAAATTTTGGAACTTTTTCCACCTTTAATGTGTTTTAAGGTAGCATTAAAGGTGGAAAAAGTTCTAAAATGATTTATCTTTGTCTAATTTTTATACATCACATAAACCTGACATTTTAACAGGGGTGTGTAGACATTTTATGTCCACTGTGCATCAAAGTAAAAAGTTACATAAAAAAAAAACCATCAAGTCCTATCAAACGCCAGAGTATTAGTATTGTTCTAAATTCTGCATAGGCCAAAAGCAGACTCTACACTACCATCTGTGCATATTTATATTTTATGTCTGCCTGCACACCAATGCATTTTCCCCTGAAATCAATGAAAGCACATCAAAATGCATGGCAACGCACTTCAACACAAATTAACTTGCGTTGTCCTGCATTTTCTATGGTTATGGCAGTGTATTGTAATGAGTGTCAACATGCATCAGAGTGTATTGATATGCGTCATCATTGATGGACATCCTAAATTTATGCGTTGAGATGCATTTTAATGCATCTGTTGATTTCAATGTTTATGTTATTGCTGTACTACATTTTGTAATGATCCATTATTACTTTTGAGAAAGTATGCAGCTCTACTTAGGGTGCATTTTTATTACAAAATTTCCAAAATAAATGGAATATCAGAATGATTACTCTATATAGAAAGTGGGTAGAAAATCATTTGTAAACCAAGAGAATAAGGGCAGCCTCACACTGCCCTGCTGCACTTTTGCTAAAGCGCAGTTGGTTTTTCATGCAGGTTAGCTGCGCTTTCCCATAGACTTCAATGAGGTCCTGCGGTTTTGGTGCTGTTTCAGAAAGCGCACCAGAACTCCTGCATGCTGCATCTTTGATACACGTTTTGAAACTGCACCAAAACCGCAGGACTTCATAGATGTCTATGGCAAAGTGAAGCTAACCCACACAAAAAATGCAGGCAGCAGCCCTTTAGTAAATGTGTAGTAGGACTGCACTGGGGCAGTGTGAAGCCAGTCTATTAATAAAAGGACACTCACAATCCAATCAAATCTGTACTTTTTTCTGCAAAGAAATTTAATTAATCTGCATATTACAGTCAATGTATATGAATTGATGTACTGTATATATTGTTTATATAATAATATATTTACTGTAATAAGATATACTATAAAGCTGGTA